TGCAAATCAGCAGATTTGTTTTTTTCAAGATGCAGGGCTGTGTAATTTATAAAAAACACTGCAGTATTCCATCAATAAAGAGAATTGTCTATTTTGATTGCAGGGTGGCTTTAACACTACCAAAAAAAAAAAACTTGACAATGATCCACAAACCTCTAGTCGTCATTATGTAACTATTCATAACTGATGCACACTGCGATTTGGTTGTTTTTAAGTCCTGTTGTTTTTTTTCTACAGACTTTTTTGTGTGCGGTGATTGTAAAGGGAACATGTGGTTCAACCAGCCTCCTAACCTGTCCACCTGGACTCAAAGAAAACCGGCTAGTATTCTTAAATTCGCTCATAGGCATAATTATCATATATCAATCATGCAGTCATGCATTGCTGATAAATTGTGTGTCTGATTGGTCTGTAGGCACACACAGACAAAGTGAGTGTACTGCGGCTTACCGAGAGCCTCATCATCTCAGCGTCTTATGACAGAACCGTCAAACTGTGGGACAGACGCACTAAGAAACAGGTATTTTTATTCTTACTTTTATGCACTGTATTTATACCAGAGTTTATTCCAATTCTTTTCTGTTTCTCACTCATTTTCTATATTTCTCAGGTGGGCATGTTTATGTGTGGAGGCCCTGTCAAGGTGCTGGAGGTGAACCCATGTGACCCCAAGGAATTTGTTTGCGCTGATACGCAGGGCCAGCTGTACTTCCTGTCTTGGAAAGGTTGATTTTCTAATCATCAGTCAAAGGACAGTCACATTCGTAATGTTTCATCGTTTTTTTTTTTTCCATTGGTTGTAATGTTGCATACTGCATTTTTTCATTTTATTTTTCTTTGGATAAAAGCGTCTGCTAAATGACTAAATTTAATTTTACATGCATGAAGCATTTTGCACTAATGATACTGTTGCCTTAAAGCCATGATATGAAGAATATTTGATTTTATTCTATACATTTGGCAACCGCTTGATTATATATTCAGATGCATTAAGTAAATAGATTTTTTTAAAGGATTGTACATCCTTTATGTATGAAAAGCTTTTTTGGTGAATAAACGGTCAGCAAGTTCACATGAGGAAAAGATGTCCACTGAATGTGCTGTGATGGTGTTCTCCATTGTCAAAAATCCATTGTCCAGGATAGAGATTCACCTTCACTTTATCCCCTCCTTCTAGCACCAGATATACTCCATTTGAAGAGCTGATAAAACCACTTGCTTGGTGTCCATGTGTAGAAATGATATGCTGGTCATTTTTAAATAGGCCTGCGGTAACAGCTCTCTCTAGACTCCCAAAAGCCTTGGAGAAGACCCTGAAAGCATACGCTCCCCTCACAGGTGCTGTAAAGATTACTGTAACAGACAGTGGTTAATTAGATACATTCAAATGAGAGCGTTACAGAAAATTCCACAGATACATTCACACTATATGAATTAATTCACCTGTGTTTGGATCATAGGCGTTTCCAGTATTGAGGAAGACATATCTGTAAATCAGAGTGTGTAAACCATTACGAAATGGTCCAATGCTTTGTGGTCTGAAAGAGGTCAACAGAGAGGCTGAGAAAGCCACTTTAGGAACTAAAACATTATAAATTAGATTACAAATGATCTCATTATATTTACACTATCATTCAAAAGTTTGGGGTTGGTAAGAATATATTTTTGCGTGTAGTTTTTCTCTGTATGTCCCCCTTTCTTTCGTCTCTCTCTATAGCTGTAATTGTTCACTATTAGTGCTATTAATGAGGAGCGATCTGACTTGAGTGGTTGCTGTGGTATTTAAGCATCCCAAACTATAAAAACACCTCCCTGCTCTCATGGGAGTGACAGCGGGGACTCGAGGGATCATTTTTGATCGGATCCCTGTTATTTGTTACGAGTATTTTCTTCATTTAGTTTAAACTTATTCGTAACATCCATCCTACATTAAAAAAATATATTGGGCAAATATGTAACATTTCTGTATCTCTAGAAGTGGGTCACTGGACACCAAATTTGAATACTGGATTCAGTAGTAGTTCCTGTTTTCTTGTATAATACACATCCAAACTTGTTCATGCACAATTTTAGTCTCTTAAATTTCCACTTTGGATTTTTAAACCATAGCAGCTTATAATTTTAATATCTTGTGGACCTGGAGGTCCCCTTTCCCCCTTTTCTCCAACTGGCCCAGGTGGTCCCGCTTTACCTGGTGGTCCCTGTACATTCACTCCTGTAAGGTAGGAGCAAAATGTTAGGCAATAATGTAGGAGTGAAATATTCCACTACCTCAGACTCCCTCACTTTATTCATTACTCTCTCTCTCTCACACACACACACACACACACACACCTGGCTCTCCCTTCTGGTCCCTTCCATCTCTGCCAGGCAGACCGTTTTGTCCAGGAGTGTCAGGAACTCCACCATATGCAGGACAGTTGAGTTCAGGTTCTGAGGTTCATCTCCATCCAACAGCTGCAGTGCAAATTTAAAGCAACACCATGTAACTTTTGCTTACGGTTCCCTCATGTGGTTGATAAGCGCAATTGTCTGTTACCAGTGTCGTAAATACTGTCGCTGTATAAACTTGCCTGTGGGCAGCGCAATACACGTGAATTTGTTGACTAAACTGACAGAACCGGTGTAGTGCCGAAATTTGCACCCTGCCAGATTATGCACCCCCTAGTATTGGTAGGTTTAGGAGTAGGTGTGGGGGAGGGGTTAGGATTAGGGGTGGGGTTAGGATTAGGCAATATAGCGATTTAAACGAGGGGGTGCATAATTTGGCAGGGGTGCAGAATTCGGCACAACACCGGCGAATGGAGAAACCTCGTTTGGAAACCATGTCCACCGACCAGGGCGACCAGGTAAAGTAGCCCGTGTTACACTGTTCTACAAATATCATTACATAATTTTATTTATTGTTACTCCAGAATTGAAAACTACAACAACAAAAAGAACAGTAGTATGTTTGCCTAGTTTTTTTTTTTTTTTTTGCTGGCATAGTTCGTATGTGGATAAAGTTCAGTCTTGTGCATTTTCAATGATCTTCATAGTTTACATCAACAGAGTACAGTGTTATATTGACAACGTGGCTAAACATTTTTACTGTCTCGTGAACAAATGAGACTTGTCATTCTGATGGCACTGATATGTTCATTAGGGTTGGGTATCATTTGTTTTTTTTTCGATACCAGTGCCAAATCGATACTTTTAAAACGGTTCCGGTGCCTAAACGGTGCCTGAACGATACTTATTAAAAAATAAATAAAGGGGGAATTGTTCCCCCGCAGTTCGAACACTGCTTTCATCTAGCCTCTGTATAACAGATTGTGTTTACAGCAGTAATCAAGGAAACAATGCATCACTGCTGTTCCTTAAGTGCCACCTGCTGACAGAGAGTGAATTTGCATTTTCATTCAGCCCATCTGCTGTTTGGTATGTTTTGTGTAGCCTAATTTCACAAAGCTAAAGTCAGACCATTCTGTTTTTGCTTCAGGTTTTGCAATTATACAGTCTAATTTAGATCAAAATATAGGCTAATAAAGCAACTAACCATATTCTTCATGCACTCATATTTTCATTCTTTCTTGTCTTTTGCTTAAATAAAATACATTAAAAATGATGAGTGAAAGATCAGTGCATCCCTAAATTTATAAATGTTTGAAATGAAGAAATGAAGAATTAAATGTTAGTATTGTAGCTGCCTTTGGACGATAACGTTCTCTAATTGAAATAGCTAGCTGAGTTAATGTCAGTATATTTATTTATTTATTTTTTGTGCAGCCGTCTTATTTCATATGTAATTAGTTTTATGCCATAAAGCCATGCAGTTTCTGTGTGAATGATCGGTGGTGGAATTGGCTGCGATGCAAAGGGGCACAGCTAAAATCTTGCCTAGAGCACTAAATTGATCAGGGCCGGCCCTGGCTGAAACACCGGAGTTTTGTTCAGTGCATGCTCTCGCTGCTGAATTCTGCTCTCTCACGAAATATCTCCTCATAAACAACAAAGTGCAGATGTATGTGCGATGTAAGTATAAGAGATTTATTCATCATACAGTGTAGATAGCTTCAATGATTATAACGGGATTAAAAAAAAAGTCCATAAACTCGCACTAGACTGAATTGTGATTATGTTCTTTGATAATGTAAATGTTCGCTCTTTTTCTGTAGCTGTTGTTTGAATAACTAAGTAAATATAAGCATTATAATTAGTAACTTACCATGTTTCTATTAAATTGTCATCATGTTAAATACAATTTCAGTAATATTAAAAATATTTTATGACACGACATCCATATGCTCCTTGACTAAACAGATATAATGTATAGTTAATAGATTACACTAACATTAGCTTGCTTTAAGCCGTAACCTGGAGTTGGTTCACTCTGGCTATAAGTAAATAATTATAAAGTAAATAAGTAAAAAAAATAATTAAATTAGCATATCGTGTATCGGCGATCTCACAGGCTGACGATAGGACATGACTATGGAGCATATTGCCCAACACTCTCTCTCTCTCTCTCTCTCTCACACACTCACACTCACACACACACACGTCTTCCAATCCTACTGTATGATCCTGCTGTATGTGTATAGTATGTATATTGAGCACTGCTGTTCAGCTGGCTTGTTTGGGGCCAAATTTCTTTTTATTTTTGATACATTTGTATTTTTGAAATAGGCCTATATAAAAAATGTATATTATTTTGATGAATTTGTCTGTCTTTTATCATATTTACCAATTGTTATAATTTCAATTAGTGCTGGTCAATTATGAAAAACAGGTAAAATTGAACTGCTAGCAAAAACTTGTGAGAATTGGGTGGGGCCGCTGCTTCAAATATTTGAGTGGCTCCTTCCCTAACAGATGTAATTTCACTCCAAATTTTTCATAAAACTTGAGAGCCCTGCAACTGTATATATATATATTTACTGTACACACTATAACACTGACCAGCAGTCTCTGAGTGAAGAAAGCCTGACTAGCACCACCTGACTGCCGTCCATGGATTTACAGGCACAACACACACGGGAAGAAAGGGCGGCGTTAATAACATTTCGATACTTCAGACTGCAAGACAACAGTTATTTAGACAAGTATTGCGCGTCAGTAGAAAATACCATGGAAACAGTTTACAGTACACAATTTTCTTTCATTTCATAGAAATTCCACAGGTTTATTTTTCCTCTCGCCCTGCTCCATTGTTTTTTTTTTCTCAGGGAAGTTGGCGGTGTGCGGTAAGTAGCGCATGTCTTGTTGCTCCAACTTTTAACGACTACATTTTTTTGTGTTGTTTATTTAAATTGTAACGTTACAAACTTTAATATGTGCACTGGCATATTCAGGAAACGACCGGGAGATGCATGGTCGTATGGATGCGTGTATTTGTCAGAAATCCCGTGATTTGTCTTGACTAGCAGATTGTTGACAAACTTGCCTGAGGCAGGCAGCATGACTAGCTAACTAACTAACAGCCTAATTACATTTACACTAATTACACTAACACTTAATTTCTCAAATTGCTTGCTGTCACCTCTATATTTGTCCTCAATATCCATGATTTACATAGGTATTTCAGAATTTCACAATTCAACTTGAATCAGCTTAAAGCGGTTTAGTGCATACATGTACATGCATGCATAATATAATTTAATAATTAATGCATTTAGCAGACGCTTTTATCCAAAGCAACTTACAGTGCATTCGGGCTATACATTTTTTACCAGTATGTGTGTTCCCTGGGAATCGAACCCACGACCTTTTGCGCTGCTAACGCAATGCTCTACCACTGAGCCACAGGAACATACTAATGTAATATGGGTTATAATCTCACAATAAACTGGATTTATTTAGAATAATTTCTGAACAATATAACACCGAGGACTGGAGTGATGGCCGCTGAAAATTCAGCTTTGCCATGACAGGAATAAATTACATTTTAAATTGTAAAAATGTTTCACGATATTACTGTTTTTACTCTATTTTTGTCAAATAATTGCAGCCTTGGTGAGCATAATAGAGACTTATACAATGTCAGAAGTTGCTGTTCTGTGGTCTGTTTTGCCCTGCAGCATATAATGATTTTTCATGAAGGTCATTTTTCAACAACAAGCCTTTTCTTCCTCTGTCTTAGGATGACCTCTCAGTTTAAAGCAAATCTTCAGCATGTGATGATGTTCGGTCTGACCGCAACATCAGTGAGAGTGTTTAATATTCCTGTTTTTTCCTTTCTTGATCCTTTCCTAGGACATTCTCATAATGGATACAGAACTTTCTAAAACTGATGACAACTGTGGCGATCACTCCACTACTGAAGTAAGTCTTACTTTGTCTGCCTTTTGCATGTCTATACTTTGTCTTTCTCACTTTCACTTAACTGACACTTTTTCATGTATTGTGTGTTTTTTGTGTGTTAGTTAAACCTTACTGAATATTTCACATACTTGGTCTTTTTTGTAATTTCACTAGTTCTGATAAAACATGTTGTAATAGGAAGGCATCTGCTTCCCCAGCAGGGCATGGAAAAAACACAGCAGTCCTTGGAACCCTGTGAGAAACCTGACGATAAACAGTCAAAATCTATGCAGGTGGGCATACTTTTTTTTTTAAACGATGCAACTCATTTTTGTAAATTATTTGCCGGCTAAATACATATATTAAAGCTCCGATTTATTACTTGCATATTTGGATGGCTCTTAGGACTGCCTTTAATCCAGTGAATCTCAAAAGACAAGGGCATTTTAATCAAATGTTTATTGTCAAAAATGCACTTTTCTCTTTTATACCAGGATACAGGTTCTGGTTTAGATAAAGACGAGCAAGTTGATGTTGAGAGCCAACCATCATATAAGGAGGTAAATAAGCAATTTCATCTCTATACTGGTTTATAATGTGAACAAAATTTAACTGCTGTTGCTTTGACTACCAAAAATGTATATTGACTACCTAAAATGTATATTGTACATTTTATTTTATTTTATTATTTTTATAATATTTTATAATGAAAATTATAGTATTATTATATTTATTTTAAAATTATTATTATGTATTTTTCTTTAAGACTTTAACACTTGATTAGGTTTATATATTCAGACATCACCCCTAAACTTTGAGCTTCATTGAAAACATGTTGTAACAAACTGGTTAAGGTGCTGCTGTTCATCTAGGAATCTTGTGCAAGTCTAGCTTGTTATGGAAGCTGTTATTTCAACATGCCTTTGGGCTTTTTCAGCAATACGTTTTGGTTTTTAATTGGCCTAGCCTAAATAGCAGTAACCAAAGATAAAATACAAGTACCTACATGCACATCAGAATGCTGGGTGGGATATGACTCAAATTGTTGTGTAAGATCATCTAGCAGAGGTTGAATAAAGTAGCTCAATAACAAAGCAAATTGCAAGGCTACAATTTAAATACTTGTCTGAAGCGTGCATCAAATAGTGCTGTTTTGTCTGGCAACCGTGACAGGTTAACTAAAGTTTTTTTTTTTTTTTAAATGGCACTTCTGTTAGTTTTGTATTCTGTCATTTTTTGCATTCTGTATTTTTTAGTCAATACAGATCATAGGCTAGATAATCACAGTTTTAAAGTTATTTCTGAATCATAGGCTAAAGCTGCGTGCACACTAGCAGCAACTGCATGTCGCCAGAGGCTGGCGATGAGGTTGTAGTGGGCGTTCTCACTACTGGCTGCCTAGTAACGAATCAGTTTTCTTGCCGCTAAATACAAACATATCATAGACCGTATAAAAACATGGACGTAGTGTCCGTGACATCACCCGTAGGATTCTGAAGAGCGTTTTTTAAGCTCAAAGTGGGCGGAGCGGGCCGTTGCCATCTTGGCCGTCGCCATCTTCACCGCACGTCACTCCCGGATAATCGAAAATGGGCAAAGAGGCGGGAGATGGTTGCTGAAACCACACCCACCTAGCTCGATGGCGGTGACAGCTGCGGCAATCCACCTGTCACTCATGTGGCCACGCCCTTAATTATGCAGAACTTTAAGGGTTAATATAATTTAAACAGATGAATTATAAAAAAAATTCACCCCCCTCACAGTTGTCTTGAAGGGCAAAATTATCTATATAGACCAAAACCACTTTTTGCACCAGGCTGTAAACACGGATCCCATTGCATCCGACACGTTTTCTCACTGACACGCCCCCAACTTGGAAACTCGGGGCTTAAAGAAAATTTCGAGTTTCCCACTCGTAATAACGACTTTGTGGTGGCGTTCATGTGCGTTCAACTCGTAAATACGATCTATCCGACATGACTTGAACGCACCATGACTCCCTTTTGGAGCCAGCCTCTAGCGGCCAGGCGATGAATTGCAGTTTTAGTCACTTCGCTGGACACGCCCCAGCCGGTCGCCAACAGTCGCTGACGCTCGTGTCGCCAGAAATTGCGAGCTCTTCACTGAAATGAATGGGATCGTGTCGCTTTGCCGTTGCGCATCGCTTGTAGTGTCAGTGGGGCTTTAGGGTTATATGCATTCTGCTCCTCGTTACAGGCCGCTAGCAATGAGATCCCGGAAAAGATGCCTGCCACAGTGGTTGAGGCACCTGGAGAAGAGGAAAATCCAAAAGTAAGCACCCATCTTACCATTTTGAGTAAATACTGATGGCCTTACCATTGCGTGTTTCCAGAGAACCAAAACGGGTGATCTGGACTTCATCCCAGTTGAACGGCTTTAAACCATATGACATTTTCACAGCAAAAAGGACAGAAGAAGAAACCCAGAAATCCATTTATGCCCCAGGTTGCCACAAAGGTAAAAAATAAATAAATTCATGTTTACTTTTTAAAAATCCTCACAGTTGTTAGTTAATGGAAGCATGTGCTATTTTTTCAGAACAAAAGAACACAGAAGAAGAATGGAAACCAAAATGAAGACAGTGGCAGTGACCTTGCAGAGGTGCTGTAATGTCCTAGCAGTTCTTTTAATCATATAACTCAAATAACTCTTGTGACACTGAAAACAAGACTCAACCAGGTAAAGAATGAGAACTGAGAGATGTGGTATCCTAAATATAAAAACCCCACTGAGGCCTTCATAAACTGTTTTACGCTACAGGTCAGGTGGCAATAAATGAGCCGTGCATTGGCTTGCCTAACAATCAGTTGCACACAAAAGTGGAATTCTAAATGTCTGCAAACATTAAAAAGAGAAGTTGTCTCTAAAGGAAACATTCTGTGCTTCTCTCTTTTTTTTGTTAGTTTTGTATTTGTATTTTTGATTTAAAAAATGAACTCTTTTTTTTTTTTTTTACTCACCAAGGAAAAAAATATTTCAGCTTGCAACAGCAAATTGTTGCAACCTGTGATGAAAACAAAACCACTCAAACACACTACCTTCCTATTTGACTCACAACTTCTGCAATTTCTGTTGGTTTCTGCATTGGAATTTTCCCTTCAAGTTCCCTTTTACACAATCTACTTTCTGGTTTGTTCGTTTTTGTTTTGTTTTGTTTTTTTCCTAAGACTAAAGGCCACAAGAAGTCCCTCATGGAATGGCTGGATGAGTTCCGTTTAAGTGAAACTCAGAGAGAGGATGAGGAGGTTGGTTCTATAAATATAGATCCTTGTCTTTGTTTTCTAAAAAAATAATTTTTTTTTTAGTTATCCTAAATGCATCTGTCACAGGATCTTGATGGCCTCATGGATTGGTGGAACACTGTGGAACGTGAGTTTGTCCTGCCATGTTTGTCCACTTTTAGAAACAATCCCCCCATACTTATTAGTTTAATCTAGTTAACAGCAATTTATTTTTAAAAAGGTTCTGATAGATGGTCCTTCATTAACTAAACTTCAGCTATTTTCCTCCCATTTTGTTTTTTTCCAAATCAGAATGGGAAGACATGCCCAAAAGTGACAACATGACAGAGAAAGAGGAAGCCAAGTAAGGCCCAATTCATTCTGTGTGCATGTGACATGACAAAGTGAATTTGACTGACCAATTGTCTTTTGCTCAGGGCTTTTGCTGTAACAGCTGAAAAGGTGCAAAAGGGCATACGTGTGTTTAACAAACTTTTCTCAGAACGGGCGGAAGGACTGTGGCAGCATGTGATCGACCTGTATGCCATTGCTGATGACCTGGACCGCTTCAACAAGAAAACCAAGATTGCCCAGATCACTGGTGGCTCCACCAGTGCTGTGGGAGGTGTTGCTACCATAACTGGCCTCATCTTAGCACCTTTCACAATGGGAACCTCTCTGATCGTCACTGCGGTTGGCCTGGGTGTTGCCATGGCAGGTGGTCTTACCTCTGTATCCGCTGGGATATCCAGTACCGTCAACAACTCTTTGGATCGCAAAAAGGTAGAGCGCATTGTGGAAGACTACCAGGCGAAGATGGCTGACCTTAACAAATGCATGAAGTTCATCAAGCAAGGCATTACAAACCTACGCAAGTTCAACCTGAATAAGATGAAGAAGAATGCATACAATCGAGACTTCCCTTGTTTTGACAATATCTATGAGGACGGCGCTATGGCGGGCAAAACTATTCTAACCAATGTCAATGAAATTATGCGTGTGATGCAGATAGCCAATGTGGCGGGAACCACTGCGGCACGTGCTGTGCAGATCGCTAGTATATCCACAGGTGTTCTGACGGGGCTTTTTGTCGGGATGGACATCTATTTTGTGGCCAAGGACTCCCATGAACTGAAAAATGGTGCAAAGTCAGAATTTGCTGCCAAGATTAGAGAGGTGGCAGATCAGCTACACGAGGGCTTGATGGAATTTAACATAATCCGAGATGAGTTGCGGTTGACCACCACTCTGAAAGAAGACAAACCTCTGTAAACACTCCTCTGAGTTTATTATTACATTCAGAATAGATGATATAAAATTGTATGGTTATAGAACTATACTGGCTTTCCTTATTCGACAGAAGAGGAAATTTGGGATCTTAACTTGTTTTTATTACTTTATTTCCACTGCTTGTTAGGGTATAATTGCTGCTTTAATAATGCTAAAAGAATAGGAACTAATATATGTTCTATATGGTCCTAAACATACGGTTATCCCACCATGGTGAGTGAATGGAGGGGGTTATTTTGTATTTTGTGTATTTTCTAGGGCTGTAAAATAATTAATTGCGATTAATCGCATCCAAAATAAAAGTTTGTGTTTACATAATATATGTGTGTGTACTGTATATTTATTATGTATACATAAGTACACACACATGCATGTATATATTTAAGAAAAATATTTATATATAAAATATTTACATTTTTATATAATATATAAATGATATATATGTAAATATAAATATACATATAAATATTTGTAAAATATACGTGTGTGTGTGTGTATATATATATATATATATATGTGTGTGTGTGTTTAATATACATAGTACCCATATTATGTAAACACAAACCTTTATTTTGGATTTATTCGTTTGACAGCCCTTTTTTTAACGGATAAGGAATGCTAGTTATTTCATTATTTATTAGATTTAATTACTTGCAAATTTCTCATTGCCAAATATTTATCAGTCACTTTGATGGTCCTGTCTGTCTGTCTGTCCACATTAAGACCAACATTTTTGATGGTTGACTGATATAATGTATTTTCATACAGTGAATATTGTAATGGATTGTGCTTATTTCATTTTGAATTTAAAATATATTATGAGGGTTTTCTAAAAGGTTTTCAAGGCAGTTTTAATGTTACCTTATGTAACAAAAAAAGGTAACATTTGTTATAATAAAACTCAATACCTGTGCTAAAAGTGTCTGAAGAAACAGTCTTGTATTATGTCATTTGTTTAGTGGAAGTGACTTGCTGTCGTCATACTGACACCCTGCTAAACAGCCCCGCTGTTCTGTCTTCACTCAACACAGATTTACCGGGTGGAGCTTGACAAAGTTTTGACAGTCCGTTTTTCTGGGAACCTAAGGTAGGCAAAACAGTACGGTGAAATATCGTCACGATTGTCAATTCTGCATGTTTATTAAATAAACTATTCGGTCAAGTTTCGGTATAGAAGAGTCATTTGTGTTTGACTGGACCTCCCATTTGTCATTCAAGATCAGACGCTTTCTCTGAGACTAGAAAAATCCGCTGGAAAAACAAAGAGCGATCAATTTAGAAAAATAATTCAACATTGAAAATGGAAGGATAAAAAGTAAGCAAACCAAAGTGCATCTTAACGAATAGAGGTGTCGGGAGCGCGAGGCGTTGACGCGTATGATACTGTTTGCAGTTGTTTGTCATGAATGATGTCAGTGCCTGGCACTGTTTGGGATTGTTTTTGTTTAGAGTGCACTCCTGCCTGTGCTGTGTTGCCTACGCAATGCTTCATAAAAATATTTTCCATCATATTGTTTTCTATGATACATACATTGTGGAAGCATGGTTTTCCCTCAGGTTTGAAATGAAAAAGCGTAATATGATTCCAAAAGGAACGCTGAAACAGGAAGCTCAGACCTCCCCTAAATGAGATGATATGTGGTTAAATGATGAGGTGAGGATCCCAGGTAGCAAACTGACTCCTATCTCCTATGTACCACAAGCTCCGATCCACAAAATGGTCCGTATCAGAGTCCACTGCACTTGCACGTATAGCTCTACACGTATAGCTCATCCGTGGGTCGACAACTTATTCAAAATGGGTCATCTGGCCAAAACTAGCTATGGAAATATCTAAAATATAGCTGACCAACATTATATAGACTAGATTGCTCTATAAAAGCTTCGTATTCTGTAGGCATAGTCTCCCTGTATTAATATAAATAAACCATTAAATCATTCAAAACTTGAAAAAAATCTAAACTTTACTTGGCCAATAACAATGAAACACTATAGAAAGTAGGTAATTGCAGACTAAATATATTGAATAGGTTTTACAGGAAAATAAAATGCAACCATAAATTGTACTGCCAAAAACATAGTTTAATTTATTTAAAAACTTTAGCTCTAAAAAAGTCAATAGTATTGATTCAGTTCATTAACTTTGTAAAATTAATGTTTACGAATGAATTAGTTCAATTCAGCTTTAAGGAATTCTACAGCAGACAAAAGTTTCATTAATCACTTTTGAGTCAGCTTGATGTTGATTTGAAGTTCAATATCAGTGAAAATGTTGCATAAATTATGAAACAAAGTCTATTCGGCAATAAAGCAGCTCTGGAGAAAACAGTCATAAACAAATGTCATAATCCAGCTCAATTCAGTTCAAGTTTTGTCATCATGCAGTAGTGTCAGATCAGCCAAATCAATAATAATACTGAATATTCAGTGTCTTTTAGACTTCAACTAAGCAAGCCAGAGGTGACAGTGGAACCCAGACTCCACCAGGTGACTGAAACAGAGAAAGAAAAAAAAAACCTTGGGAGAAACCAGGGGCCGTATGTATAAAGCCGTTCAAAGTAAAAGTTTAGTCTTAAGTGTGTCAAAATTCTAAGAATGACGTAATTTTACTCTTATTCCTAGACTTAAGAATACGAGTGATTCATGTGACTTCTTGTGGCCTTTAGTCTTAGGAAAAAAACAAAACAAAACAATTCCTAAGTGTTAAAAGAGGTCTCGGCTCCTAAATTATTTAAGAGAGCTGGAGAGGTCTCCTAACCTAGTTAGGAGTAATAA